TAACGGTAAATTTCAGAAATGCTTGAAACTTCAATATTTCGAAATTGAAGGACGCTAATTTACTTAAAATTGATACACCCCGGCTTACCATCTAGCGGAAGGTTTCGGAAAGGTGAAAAAACATATATTTAATACTTGCGCCGGGTATTTAATGTTCGGCTCCGCCCGAACTTAGACTTTCTTACTTGTTTTCTGATTAGCTTTGTTTTTTCATTGCATTTAAATCTTGATTTACAGTCGAAATCTCGTATTTATTTATTTTACAGGAAACAGATCGATACGCAGTTTTAAAACCGATGCGAGTGACGACTGTAGATAATTTTCAGGGAGAGGAAAATAAAATAATCCTCTTGTCTCTGGTACGCAACAATGAAGAAGGTAACATCGGATTCCTCAAGGAGGAAAACCGAGTTTGCGTCGCGTTATCGCGTGCTCGCGATGGCATGTACATCATGGGCAACATCCATAATCTCGAGATGAAAAACACCATTTGGCCGAAAATCAAGAAGGTTCTGGATGAAGAAAACGCCATAGGCAACGCTCTCGAATTGAGATGCGAGGTTCATCATGATCAAATCACATTGGTAAAAATGCATGCTCCATTTATAATATACAACTTTACATGATCATATAAATATATTCTTATGCACTGATTTATATAAACAAGCACATAAGAATCTTTGTTGCCCCTTATTGAGAAACTTGGGTCCGGCTTAGTTATTTGTACAACGATTTTCGGTTGTTGTGTCCAAACGCATAACCCGAATCCAAAAACTTTAACATACAAGTGTAATCAAAGGATTCACATTTTATTTAAGATAAATGTTTCAAATTTCCTACCACTAGCTTATTAATAAACTCGGTTTACACTATGCACTCTTGCAAATTTCGACATGGGTTCTGCGCAAAAATACTGTGGACGGCGTAGCCGGAGTGATATGCACAAGAAATGTTGTATACCTTTGACATGCGGAAGCCCCTCCGCCCCAGTGATATAACCTTGGGAAAGGATGAGGTAACTAGAATTCCCTTTCTGTGTGGTAAACCTGGGGCTGCCGCCCCAGTGATGTACGCGAACGCAAAAACTTGTAAGTTTTGGTTAAACATGAACAATTAACAGCTACGCGAACGCAACTATTATTGTTAAATTAGTGCACAGATTTAGTAAATTAAATTTTTGTAATAAAGCGTCAACTGTTGTCTACAAGTGTGTGTAAAAGTTTTTTGATTCGATTCACGCGTTTGGGCACAGCAACCCAAAATCGTTGTACAAATTCATAAACAGTACCCAAATTGGAAAAAGCAGCAACATCTTGCACAGGGCATCGATAGCCGATTTGATTGATGAACAACTACTCACAACTGCCGCGGACAGACAAGGGGTAGTTCGAATCCTTGCCTCGGAAAAAAGTCTGATGATGTTGAAGTGATATTCGAATAAATTTCAGCCGAGAGGCCCAATTTTCTACCACTTTTTATAGCAATTGGGGCTGTATGTCAACAATAATGCGCCGAATATTCTCTTCCAAGGCGTCAATCGCAATGGCAAACCAAACTGAGTAAAAATCAAGTAACAGCTGTCAAAAAGGCCAACTTCGAAAAAAGTATTGCCTCTTTGAAAACCACACGTCTAAAAAACACCCTTTATTTGACTTATTTGATGCCTAATTTTCGACCACTTTTTGCAGCAATTGGGGCCGTATGTCAGCAATAACTTATTCTACCTCCGCTGATTGTAGGTGGTTGTTTTTTTTTACCAATTTAAACCTTAACTACAGACGACCGGTATTTTTTTTTTACCGGTAAGCGGTTTCAATTTCGCGAATTACACGAATCCCCGCTATTAACGTGCTCATACGCCAGTGTACCTTTTCGGCGCTTTATATAACATTGTTGGCCGAAGTGTCCACTGCGTTTTGTTAAATCTCGATGATTCATCGCTAATTACAATTCGTAACCGGTTAAATTTACCGGGGGTCTGTGTGCACGTAAGCATTTATTTGATTTATGATATGATAAAACTGAAAAAAAAAATGTAAACAAGTAGTTTTTAAGCAAAAAACAAAACCGACTTCAATTCTCATATAAAAGTTTAAGAGTACCGTTAATTGTTTAATGATCCAATGATCGGATCTAAACCAGATTAGTATGGGACCACCTCTGAGACACTACCTTTCCGCTGCAAAAAGAATTATCGAAATCGGTTGACGTGGCCCAAAGTTATGCGGTAACATACATAAGAAAAAAATTTTAAAATATTCCGACGGATTGATAACCTCCTCCTTGTTTTGAAGTCGGTTAAAATACAAATCTTTTTTTTGGTTTTTCTTTAAGGATATGGAAATGGATAGAGGAAGTTATACTGGACCTTCTAAAAGGGTTGAAATTAGTGACATGATTTTTGAAGAAACTATTGAAAGGGATTTACAAGAAGTTAGAGCTTAATTTTTTCATCATTTACCCCTTGCATGTTTTCCTTAAATGTTTATTTTTCAATTAATGCAACATTTTGTAGCTTTAATTATTGCATTTTAATTTGTTTTAATAAAAATAAATTTTTTTTGTTTTTAAATGTCATTTATAATCGTTTTTCTACGAATTAAAAAAATTGTGTTAAAAAGTATCATTGAACATATTCTTCTCATAAACGTGGTATTGTTTTATTAAACTCAATCATTTGACGGCTGCTACCAAATCTAGAAACTCTAAACAAATATAGAATGCATATAACATATTAGTTTTCTAGTTACTGTTCACATATTTTTTTAATTTAGTTAACCGGTAAAAACTACCGGTGGTCTGTTATAACGTTTTTATAATCGGACGTCTGTAGTTAAGGGTTAATAAAAATTGTTTCAAATAAATTTTTTGCATTCCAACAAATTTATATTGAATAAAATTTTGTTTTCAAAAATGAAATGAGTTTCTGGACAAACCACGTACTGTAGAGAAAACCTAGGGTGACTCGAAAATTCCGACTTCACACTCGGTTTCAGCGGACCAAAAAGCTTTAGAATCCGTTGAGAAACCCAGTGGGATTTTTTGCCTGTTGTACAGTGTTATTTAAAACTCCCATATTAATTTAAGTTTTTATGCAGATACGAGATGTGAACGATTTTCTAAAATGCCCGGAGGGTGGCTGCTTGAAAAAGTGTGAATTGGCCCTGGCCTGCGGACACACTTGCACAAGCGTTTGCCACATATTGGATCGAGAACACTTGGAGTACCGATGCAAGGAATCGTGCATTAAGAGTTGCCCATACGATCATCCTTGTCCGCTGAAATGTTGGGAAGACTGCCAACCATGCAAAGTCATGGTAAAACGGGAGCTTAAGTGTGGGCATATTGTAGATATGCAGTGCTTCGCGGATCGCTGCTATGTTCAGGTGTGATATATTAGTAAATTCCGTATCGATTTCTGTGTGGAAGATCGACCTATCTCGGCAGCCAGTTCGAAAATGCCCTATCTCAGAAAACTTTTCAAGAACGCCCTACTTCAGATGTCGGTTCAAAAACGCCCTATCTCATACGAAAATACATACATACATTTTAAATATGCTGCGTGTGTGGGCGGTTTTGAACCGAATTCTGAGATAGGGCGTTTTTATATCAAATTCTAAAATAGGGCGTTCAAAAATATTCTGAGATAAGGAGTTTTCGAACAGGCTGCCGAAATAGGTCGATCTTCCACTCGGCCATCGATATGTTATTCTATGACGTGGAGTAAGAAATCGCCAGAAATTTACCAACTATAATTTCAGGTCGACGCTACATTGCCAGACTGCAATCACGTCAACCAGAAGCCGTGTCATCTTCCCATCAAAGATGTGATATGCACTGCTGCTTGCGAGAACCGCTTGCCGTGTGGCCATGTGTGTCTGTGGAAGTGTCACGTTAACAAAGACCCGGAACATATCGAGGTATACATATATGGAGTTTGGTTAAATTAAATGTATTCTACTTATTTTATTGAGTGATTAGCTAAAACTAGTGCGATAACTCAATATGTTCTATTTTTCATTATTGATTTAAAATTTGGTTTTCAGTACAAGTGCTACAGAGATTGCGCTCGGATTTATGATAATTGTGAGGGAAATCATATGTGTCAGAAACGTTGCTACGAAGAATGCGGGCTGTGTCCAATAATTGTTGCGAAAACCCGGTCCTGCGGACATCGTTTCAAGCAATTTGTGTGCTCGAAGAATGTAGAGGAAATTGAGTGCAACAGACCTTGCAAGCGCAAGTTAAGCTGTGATCACAAGTGCCCATTGAAATGCTGCGAACCATGCGGAAGCTGTCAATTCCCGGTAAAATATTGCTTTACATATAGATTGTATACGTTACGTACGATCTTTATATTTACCTTGATTTTCAGGTAAAAAAGTTGAGTCCCTGCAACCATATCGTGAAAGTAAAATGCAGCGAAGAACCATCGCCATCTAAATGTAGCGGCAAGTGTCCTAAATTATTACCTTGTGGACACCCTTGTACTAACAAATGCAAAGAGGCTTGCACTTCAGACTGCAAGGTCTTGGTTAAGCTAGGAAAACCTGCACTGTGTGGGCACTCTTTGCAAGTACCATGCTATCTTCAAAAGACAGGTCAGCGTTTCAATTGTATCAGTCATGCAACCGCAAATAACTTGAAGTTAACATTCGATTTGATTTCTCATTGTAGATCCAAACTCGCGAGAATTATTGAAGTACTGCAAAGCACCGTGCAAAGTCGAATTGGAGTGCAAACATTTATGCAAAGGAAAGTGTGGTTCATGCCTACAGGGACGAATACACATAAACTGTGCTGAGCCTTGCAACAATATTCTTATTTGTGGACATCAGTAATCAAACTTTTTTGTTCTGAGAACACTACAGCAAACATTATTTGATGAATTAAAATTGTCTAAAATTTATCGTATTTACAGGTGTGAAGTGCCCTGCAGACTGGAATGTCAGCCTTGTAGCAAAAGATGTGAACTGAAATGCTCCCATAGTATATGCGGCAAAAAGTGTGGAATTCCATGTGTACCCTGCAAGGTGAATAAATTAATTATTTTACTAAACTTTTATAGGCAACATAGACTCGCGAGTCAACACGTACACAAATGACTCGCGAGTCAGACGCACTATTATAGTTATCGATAACATACGGAATTTATATTCAATTTGGCAATATAAAAATAGTTGCGTTCGATAACAAAATTTGCCAACACCAGCCAACAATTAAAATCAAGAGAGTAAGCGAAAATTCTCTCCCAAAGAGAAGAAAAAGCAAAAAAGTTAACGAACAGGAAATTAGCCATCACTTGCAAAAACCGGAAGAAGAAGACACACCAGCTGACTTTGTTTATGTTTTATTTGTAAACAAACTGAAATTCATGTTGCCTCCATGGAAGAAAAAAGGGAAGTGAACGTTCAATGTTCGCCAGGAACATTTCTAGAAGTAAAAACTAGTTAGTAAAGTCACATATCAGGCAGCTAAAAAGCATATAAATACCAAAACTCGAAAAATGCAATTTTGTTTGTTTACAAAAATTGCAACCATATGTTTGTGATCATACATATGTTTTCGTGTTGGATAATTTTTGCTGACTAAAATTTTGACAGTACAAAATGAACGCTTCTCTTGCATCAAAATGAACGCTTGCTCTCTCAATTTTTGTGTGTTGGATAATTTTTTGTCGTTATCGAACGCCATCCAGTAAAAATTTGGAAAAATTATTACAAACTTTTGACTTGTCGAACGCACCTATTAACGTATTTGACTATACTTATATAGGAAAAATGTTCGCGCGGTTGTAAGCATCGTCAATGCTCGAAACGTTGCTCAGAACTATGTGATATTGAGCCATGTAACGAGCCATGCCAAAAATTATTAAAGTGCAAGCACCCTTGTGTTGGATTATGCGGCGACCCTTGCCCACCATTGTGCCGAATCTGCGATAAGGAAGAGTTAACAGAAGTGTTCTTTGGTGAGGAAGATGCGCCAGATGCAAGGTAAATTAACATTTCGACAATTCAAACATGTTTACTAACACCCCTATTCTGCAACTCTTCCGTATTCGGATTTTGCTACGAATCGTAGAAATAGTATGCTGCAATCCGAATCGTATTTTCGAACTTTCGAAATTCGTAACAATGCCATGCCTAAAAACGAACGAGTAAGGGCCGGTTGTTCAAAGTCTGATTAGCACTAATCGGAGGTAGAAGCTCCGGTTAAATACAACGACTGCTTTATCGATAACATGTTATATGCACGATGTCGAAAACGTCGACAATGATGTTTAACCGGCAAGTAGTTATAACCACACATTGAACAACTGGCCCTAAGCTTTTTTGCGTAATTTTGTACGAAAACATTTCTGTGTCGGAGGCTAGATAAAAGATGTAAATCGATGTGTGTTTGCAGGAAATATTAGTGTTGTAGATTTAAACTGATAAATTTGCCTTTCTCATATACGTATATTCTTATGCACTGTTTTATATAAACAAGCAAAAAATAATATTTGATGCCCCTTATCGAGAAACTTGCGTCCGGTTTAGTTATTTGTACAATGATTTTCGGTTGTTGTATCCAAACGCATAACCCGAATCTAAATACTTTAACATAGATGTGTAACTAAAGCATTCAACTTTTATTTAAAGTAAATTTTCAAATTTCCGACCACTAGCTTATTAATTAATGCGGCACTTTTGCAAATTTCGACATGGGTTCTGCGCAAAAATACTGTGCATGGCGTAGCCGGAGTGATATGCACAAGAAATGTTGTATAGCTTTGACATGCGGAAGCCCCTCTTCTCCAGCAACAAAAAGTAAGAGCTATAATCTCGCGTGTGTGTTTTCAATGGCCTGGAAGAAGCTGTTGTTGCATTAACTGGATTGGGAACCAGTTCTTCAGGCATAGGAGGAGTTTTGGCTTGTGGTTCAACAATTCAACCAGAAGCTGAAATCATTTCCATAGCACGCCCTTATTACGCTGTAGGGTTTGCCAGATTTTGAAACGGAGAAAGGAGTACATTTATATTCTCGATATAAAAAAGCAGTACATGACAAAAAAGGAGTACAATTTTTTTTTTTTTTTTTTTTGTGCATTTTATTGTTACAAATTACCATTAATTAGGTACAAACAAACAAAGATATCTNGACAGACAGAAGCTGAAATCATTTCCATAGCACGCCCTTATTACGCTGTAGGGTTTGCCAGATTTTGAAACGGAGAAAGGAGTACATTTATATTCTCGATATAAAAAAGCAGTACATGACAAAAAAGGAGTACAATTTTTTTTTTTTTTTTTTTTTTTGCATTTTATTGTTACAAATTACCATTAATTAGGTACAAACAAACAAAGATATCTTAGAAATTTTTTTCAAAGCAACAATAAATGTGATAAATAAATTACTATATGGGTTGGCTTTCCAATAGGGACGGTTGTTAAAGAGATGGTCATCGAAGGGGGAGTGGACGTGGCACCTTTTCCGACCTTTTTGGAGAGGGCATGAACCGCCATTGAAAAAAATGTTACTCCCGACCACCTAGGGCCCCTATGGATCCCCAGGGACCCCTTAGAAAAATTGCCAAAAGTCACAATTTTTACTTGCGTCCACAGTATTTTTGCGTAGAATTCGGTTCTCAGTGACCGCTCTTACAGGAAAGTTTCCCCAACTAAAAAACTAAAAACTACAAAAGAATTCCAGACTCTTCCTGAATGTATGGTCATTTTTTTAATTTAAGCCTTATAATTAATTTAATATTTTTCTGATTTTTATACCCGAGCGACCTGCCCCTAAGGCCATGCTTACACCTTNATACTTTAACATAGATGTGTAACTAAAGCATTCAACTTTTATTTAAAGTAAATTTTCAAATTTCCGACCACTAGCTTATTAATTAATGCGGCACTTTTGCAAATTTCGACATGGGTTCTGCGCAAAAATACTGTGCATGGCGTAGCCGGAGTGATATGCACAAGAAATGTTGTATAGCTTTGACATGCGGAAGCCCCTCTTCTCCAGCAACAAAAAGTAAGAGCTATAATCTCGCGTGTGTGTTTTCAATGGCCTGGAAGAAGCTGTTGTTGCATTAACTGGATTGGGAACCAGTTCTTCAGGCATAGGAGGAGTTTTGGCTTGTGGTTCAACAATTCAACCAGAAGCTGAAATCATTTCCATAGCACGCCCTTATTACGCTGTAGGGTTTGCCAGATTTTGAAACGGAGAAAGGAGTACATTTATATTCTCGATATAAAAAAGCAGTACATGACAAAAAAGGAGTACAATTTTTTTTTTTTTTTTTTTTTTTTNTTACAAATTACCATTAATTAGGTACAAACAAACAAAGATATCTTAGAAATTTTTTTCAAAGCAACAATAAATGTGATAAATAAATTACTATATGGGTTGGCTTTCCAATAGGGACGGTTGTTAAAGAGATGGTCATCGAAGGGGGAGTGGACGTGGCACCTTTTCCGACCTTTTTGGAGAGGGCATGAACCGCCATTGAAAAAAATGTTACTCCCGACCACCTAGGGCCCCTATGGATCCCCAGGGACCCCTTAGAAAAATTGCCAAAAGTCACAATTTTTACTTGCGTCCACAGTATTTTTGCGTAGAATTCGGTTCTCAGTGACCGCTCTTACAGGAAAGTTTCCCCAACTAAAAAACTAAAAACTACAAAAGAATTCCAGACTCTTCCTGAATGTATGGTCATTTTTTTAATTTAAGCCTTATAATTAATTTAATATTTTTCTGATTTTTATACCCGAGCGACCTGCCCCTAAGGCCATGCTTACACCTTTTCACTATCACACTTAACTTTGCTTACTAAGTAGTGTTTGCCACAATATGAATGGCAAAGTACAGCGCTCAAAATAATAACTGTCGCACAGGTTTTTTGAAAAATAAAAGCGTTCTTTATAGATTTTATGTTTTTTTGTTAACTTTGTAAATATTTTACTTTAATTTTATTAATTGGTTTTAAAATTTTAATCCTGATTTGCATTTGCCAGCTTTGGGAGATAAGTACATGCGGCACGAACCTCTTTTTCAGGTGTATTTTTTCTTAGATTTTGTATAAAAAAAAGAAAAAAAAACTGTATAGGGTTAGTCGAATGAATGCCCTCTTAGTCACCAGTTTCGAGTCTTTTCGATTGCTAAGTATGAGGCCTTATGTTGGACAAAAGACGTAGTATAAAGGACCCAAATGGGGGAAATTAGCCTATGGTTACAGAAGATATGTAATAAAGTAACCGACGAAGACTTGCGCTTTTCTCCCAAACCCCCTGGTAAACCCAAATGAAGGTTAAATTTAAAAACTATACAATAACTACTTTTTTTACTTGCGCTTTTCTCTCAAAGTGTTTACCGCCAGTAAACCCAAATGAAGGTTAAAATTTAAAAACAAATTAATAAAATTGAAGTAAAATCTGTGGATAATTAACAATAAACTACTTTTTCGCAAAATCTATAAAGGCCCCTTTTATGTTCAAAAAAAAACTGCAACAGATATTATTTTACACCCTGTATATGATAAAATATTAATAACTGGAAAAAGGAGTACAAAAGAAGTACAAAGCTAATAAAGGAGTACGTTTACTCCCAAAAGCAGTACGTCTAGCAACCCTATTACGCTGCTATAATTGCAAATGCAATAGAATCCATAGTTTCCTCCAAAATATGTAAAATCAAACAATTTTACTATAAATAAGCATTTCATGACTGTTTTTTTATTCCTTTCCACTTTGTTTTCCTTCATTCAGTTGTCTTCGAAAAACAACTGACAGCTAGCAATGCTGCACATTGTTCCGCAAGGGTTGCAGCATGTAGATTTTTTGTTTTTCGTAGCGTAGCTACGAATTACGAAAATTCGGGTTCTAGAATAAGGGGGAAAAAATAACATTCGGGACATTTTTGCAGGTTTGTCTTTTTGGAAGATTGTCAACACTGCATAGAAAGTAAAGCGCTGACTAAGTGGGTGGAGGATTCTAACGAATCGATTCAAATGAAAGCGTGCCCGCGATGTAAAACACCCATCAGAAAATGCATGCGATTGATGAATCATATAAAAAAAGACTTGAAGGATGTACTACTTGTAAAACACCAGGTATTTACAGGCAATCGTTTGGATTGGAATAAAAAACGACTTGAATATGTAGAAGCATTGTCCGCCATATTAAGCAATCCAAGTCTAACAGGTAAATCAATCACCAAGAACGTTTTATTTTTTAGCAAAACATCTTCAAACATGATCGGTTGAAAACGTTTTAATAGTAAAAAATCGGAATTTTTTGGCTTTATAATAAATTTTTTACTTACATGGTAATCCTAAATTTACATTTATTGTTATTTAGAATATCCGGAATTGAAGAAGTACGTCGCAGATTTACGTGTTAGAGGACTTCCTATAAGGAATCACAGAAAACAAATTTTAAGTGCTCAGGAAATTGAAGCGTTCAGAATTTTATTAGATATCATGAGTCGTATCTTAAAAATATTGTCTCTTGTTAAAAGTCGCAGTGTCACATTTTACCGTTACGTAAAAGAGCAAGTTGTTATGTTAGTAGAAGCACTTCCAACCAGATGGCAAATTTCTCCCCAAAAAATTGCTGACATTCAGTTGGAGATTCGACGATTAAATTACATGGTAAGGCTAACGATGCAAAGTTTTTGAAACACTTTTGCATGTTTGTATTTGGTTTCAAAACCTAACTGCGTTTTCTAATCAGGTGGAACTGTGCAAAGAAGATGACATATACAACACACTATCACATGAAAAAGAGTTTAGTTCGGCATCAAACAAATTGCTAAGTATCAACAGGTTCACCGACAAATTAGAAGCCGAAGTCAAAAAGGATATTAGCGGCTTGCAGCATTTTGAACAAATTAAAATCGAACGCCAAATGATTCACAAAGCAATGGGCTACAAGCAAGGTCACTGGTATAAATGCCCTAACGGACACATTTATATGATAACTGAGTGTGGCGGTGCAATGGAAGTAAGCAAATGCAACGAATGTGGAGCCCAAATAGGTGGCAGTCAGCACCGATTGTTGAGCAGTAACACACTGGCGACTGAAATGGATGGAGCTACGAGACCCGCCTACCCACAAGGTCCTAACGACTATCAATACATGTAACTTTAAGATTATTCTGAACATAATAGTTCACATTTAAACAATCTTGATTGCTAGATTATCAGTATTTTCAATATTATTATTCTTGCCGATTATGANGTAACGTTGCAAAGCTTTTGAAACACTTTTGAAAGTCTAACTGCGTTTTTTATTCAGGTGGAACTATGCAAAGAAGATTACATATACAACACACTATCACATAAAAAAGAGTTTAGTTCGGCATCAAACAAATTGCTAAGTATCAACAGGTTCACCGACAAATTAGAAGCCGAAGTCAAAAAGGATATTAGCGGCTTGCAGCATTTTGAACAAATAAAAATCGAACGCCAAATGATTCACAAAGCAATGGGCTACAAGCAAGGTCACTGGTATAAATGCCCTAACGGACACATTTATATGATAACTGAGTGTGGCGGTGCAATGGAAGTAGGCAAATGCAACGAATGTGGAGCCCAAATAGGTGGCCGTCAGCACCGATTGTTGAGCAGTAACACACTGGCGACTGAAATGGATGGAGCTACGAGACCCGCGTGGCCACAAGGTCCTAACGACTATCAATACATGTAACTTTAAGATTATTCTGAACATAATAGTTCACATTTAAACAATCTTGATTGCTAGATTATCAGTATTTTCAATATTATTATTCTTGCCGATTATGAAATAAAATCGTGCCTTTTGACTATTATTTGTTATTATTATTTTGTTAACCGGACAACACACAGTGGGAGAAAGCACGAAAAAGCTGGACACATATAGTAAAAATGAACCTAGAAGCTTCAAATTTGGAACACAAACTTCTTTAGTCAATATTAGTATGTACAAGGTGTTAATATAAACAAAATCCGCCAACAAATGCGCTAATTTCCATATAACGGTATTTTTTAAAAACTCAAAGTGTTTTATTTGGGAAGCTTTGGCAAAGAAACAAAATGTGTTAGAACCTTCCAGAACTCTCGACTACAGTCCCTGGAAATACCATCCCGACATCTTGACGCAAAGGTCACTTAAAGTCATTTGTTGAACAGCAAAAACTGATTCTAAAAATTTTTGTTTCCAATATTTTTTTTTATTGTTCGATAAATGACCATAAGTGACCATCAGGTTAAGGTTCCGGGATGGTATTTTCAGAGACTAAATGGAAGGTTTTATCAGCTTTTCTTTGTTATGCTAGAGCTTCTCAAATACTGCAAAAAGCGCAATTTTTTTACACTTTGACCTTTATACTTACGGATTCGTAATCAGCACAAAAAAGTCTATCAAAAACAGCTTTTACATTTGCCGCACCAAAATCAGTGTTGCCCTGTGCAAGCTTTCAACACAACACAATGAGCACTGTTATTATTTTATCGCGCTATTCAATCTTGAATTACAACAGAAGGTGGTCGAAAGAGCAGAATAGCCCGATCTCGCACGATCACAACTTTTTCAACAATCGAATAAAAAAAATATTCTAATCTCCGTATTTATTTCAAATATATTAACTTGTATGAAAAATTTCAATTTAATGATTTTGATTATTTAAGATACCGTCAGATACGAGATAGAGAATCTCGAAAAAATAGTTAAGGCTTTTACTACTATTTTAAAATCAAATCTCCGAAGCACAATTTTAGAGCCGATGAGAAAAGCCACGCAAACTTTAGCAAGTTAAAACTGCTCTAGTGGAGGAGATCCAAAAAAGTGTCCCTTGAAAAGTTACTATGTTTTTCAACAGTCGGACAACTTAAATTTTTGGAATATTGGCCAGCTTTTTCCTCATTTCTCCCACTGTGCAACCCTACATCACGGAAAAACATCAAAATATATTTAATTTCTCCAGTATCGTCCTTGCTGCGGCATATTTGTCGGGGACAACGCCAACGTGCCGCCCCTGGAGGTGCAGCAGCTGACGTCACCCTGCAATCATTGGCTGTGATGCGAACGCCCACAATGTTGAGTGGGCAGCACCGACACAAACAGGGGGTGAGTGCCTCTTAGAATATACAAGCTGACCCGGCAAACTTCGTTTTGCCCAATTAGATTTTTGATTGATTTCACCCGAAATTTGTTTTTATATCGAAAATTACCGACCGTTAATAATTTCATTTATAGATTGAATGAAACACTCTTAGAATTCAATATGATGCTATATTTATAAGGAAAGCTGACCCGACGGACTTCCCGTCCCATATTTGGCGAAAATAGAATAAAATCAAGTATAACTAGAATAGAGTAATGATTTTGTTCACTTTAAGGCTGCATGATACACAACATTTTTTGTTTTCTATTCCGGAGCGTAAATGAAGAGTGAGGATGGTTTCCCAACTTGGGAACACGCCACACGTGTGAAAGGCATGACATTTCCAGATTTACGCCACAAACATTGCGCGACTGCGCAAAAGGAAGTATCCAATTTGGTACAGTCGTTTTTAAGTTTCAAGCATCAAAGTATTGGCACCGCAAATTTTTCGCAATATATGCAAGAATTTTCTCTCTAATATTTCCGCTATTCGTATAAATATAGGGTTCATTCTACAACAAAAAACATAAAAATATAATTCCTAAACTTTGTGCGAAACTCACGAAAATTCGGCAAATTTTCATGAAAATTTTCAACTTTTTAATGAGATTTTTTAGAATTTTTTTGAGTATGCAGATTTGTAGCCCAATCAATTTTATTTTAGTAAAGTACACGTTTTAAGTACCTAGGAATTACCGTTAATTTTTGGCAATTTTTTTCACGCAGGCCCTTCCATAAAAATTTTTTTTCCGAAAATTCTTTATATGAAGAAAATGCAAAACACCTTCCCCAAAAAAAAATCCCAAAAATCGACGCGATTTTTGACTAACTCCGAACTTACATTTTTTTACTAGAATTTAATGGGCTGCAAAACTGCAAACTCAAAAAAATTCTAAAAAATCTGATTAAAAAGTTGAAAATTTTGATGAAAATTTGCTGACTTTTAGCGAGTTTTGCACAAAGTTTAGGAATTATATTTTTATATTTTTTGTTGTTGAATGAACCATATTTTTTACAAAATTGGCGGAAAAATATTAGAATAAAAATTGGTGCATATATTGTGAAAATTTTGCTGTGCCAATACTTTTTTTGTTTTATTCCGGCAGTGTATATAGATAAGTTCAGTGGCAACACATTTTTGAACATTTCTGGATCAAAGTGTTTTTGAACACTTCGTGGATAATATATTTTAAATTCCTTCCAACATTAAGTTATCCTTTGGGCAGGACACTTTTCAAAAAAACTTTCCAGTAAAGCTTTCTCAACTCTTAAGTTTGGCACCAATTTTTTATTATTCCATTTAATTTCAATATTTTTAGTTCTTACTGTTTAGAAAGTCTATATATAGCTCTGTTGAAAATATTTCTTAATCAAAGATCTTTCAAATACCTTTCGTTTGATACCCATATTGTAATATTTAGTTTATCTTATTAATTTAATTGAAGGAAATTTTTGAAATAGGTGGCAACCCGCCTCAAAAATATTTTCAATAGTAAACCCCTCTAGTTTCATACCCATTTTGTATTGAATGTGTATGTGGTGTGAGAAATTCAGTTTGTATGAGAGGTGCCACGCCCCCTTTTTCAATAATATAAATAGTATATTTCTCTGTACTAAGCTGGAGCACTCTACGATGAATACTTCCAGAGATATGTTGTGTGAAAACTTCATCCTTGGAGAGTCTAGATTCGATGTCCAAAATTTCAAAAATATCGGTACAGCTGTTCTCTAGTTTTTCGAACAGAAAAAACGGCTTTCAAAATATATATTAGTAACGATAACAAATTTAATAATTTTTTAACCGACTTCTAAAAAAGGAGGAGGTTATCAGTTCGTCGGAAAACTTTTTATTTTTTTATTTTTTTTTTTTATGTATGTTACCGCATAACTTTGGACCACATCAACCGATAATTCTTTTTGCATTTAATTAAATGTGTCCTATGGAAAAATGTGTACGAATATTTTTTTTTTATAAAAAATAACAAAAACAAATAACTTAAAGGACGAGCACACCTAGAAGTTAAACATTCTAAAAATAGAATTATTAGCAAAAACCAACAATACCAACAACCACATGATCAAGTGAATTGCAGCGGAATAGCTGCGCTTGATTGTGTTGGCATAACAAAAATGAAAATAGTGGAAAAAAGCAAACGATAATTTACAAGGCGTACTTAGCACGGTGCATAGGCAACTGGCTGAGTCAGTGGGATCGTCGGTTCGAATCCTACTGAAAGAAGTCTGATGAGGAAATGTGGTGATTTCCGAAATAGCTATCACTTCTACCATTTTTTCAAGTTATTGTTGCTTTTCGACAATAAATGGCCTCGAGCTCAATATAAATTGTTGAATATAATTGTTATAAGGCCAAAAAAAATAAAAATAATAACAAAAACAAATAATTGCAGACATTTGAAATTAATTTCAAAGTGGAAGCATTCAAACGAAAAAATTTGTTTCTTTAATTTTTCAACATATATAAATAAAAAAACTATAGCTTTTTTAAAAAATCGCCACAGATAGATCGACGCGAAATTTAATTATCTTTTATTTCAAAAAAAAACTTTAAATCGGTTTATATTGGGCTCTCAAAATTGATTTGTCCACATCAACCTTTTTCGCCCCACTGTGCGACATTCCTAACGGTATCACCCAGGGGCGAGTAGGTCCTAGCACCGGGCGAACTGCCGGAGGTGTCGTCCGAGCAGCCCGGGAAGTGAGTGCTCATAAGGACTTTCAGCATTTCGTCTATATACGACTATATCTGTCGCCTATATCCGCCTATCCATCTATATCCGCCTATATACGTATATACCCCTCGTCTATATCGGTCGTATGTATTCATCTATATCCGTCGAATATATCCGTATATATCCGTCGGCTATATTCGTTTATATCCGTCTGTATCCGTTTATATCCGTCTGTATGCGTTTATATTCGTCGTCTATATCCCTCGTGTATATCCGTCTGTATTTGTATATATGCGTATACATTCCTCTATATTCGCCTATATCCGTATATATCGGTCTATTTCAGTCTACATCCGTCGTCTGTATCAGTCTATATCCGTCGTCTACATCCGCCTATATCCGTCGTCTATATGCTTGTATATCCGTCTATGTCCGTCTGTATCGGATCGGTTCATACACCAACGTTGTCGTTTGTTTTAGCTAAGGGGAGGCCCAGGAAGTGCGCACTTCAACAGGATTTGTCCATAGGGACAGGGGCGTTAGCTGGGTGGGGTTCTGGGGGCATGCGAAGAGGTGTCGAGAGTCATATGTCGATTCTACGCATGCCGGGCATCGGTTGGGCACATCCTCATTTATTCTGCTCAGGTGTGAGTTAAGCCTGCTGCTATTGTGCTTCGGGTCTCCCGAGGCAGACAAATTTCTGTCCCGTCCACGTCCGGAGGTTGTGTGCCCAGAACGGCATTCACAGGTCGAGAGCCTATATAACTTGAGACCCTTAATTGCGTTCAGGGCTTGTCTGTATGCAATTGGGTCCAGCGGTTGTTTGATGAACCTCTGGATTTCGTTCGTCAGTTCGTAAAGATGCCTCCTGACGTGCCTTGGCGAGGGCTTTTCTGCAAGCAGCTGTGGTCTTTGGGTGACCAAGTTTGTGGCTTCCTACTAGAAACTGCTTGCAGAGTATTGAGCCCTATTCTNTTTCTGCAAGCAGCTGTGGTCTTTGGGTGACCACGTTTGTGGCTTCCTACTAGAAACTGCTTGCAGAGTATTGAGCCCTATTCTGCATTTCGACTCGAATCGAAATTTTCTCCGTTTCTGCGTTCCGTTTCGTTTCGATCAATCTTCGAAATTTACGATTATACCTATTCTTCATTTCGATCGTCGTTCCGTTTCTCTAAGTTCCAAATTTGTTGTCGGAGAACATTTCGATTGTTATTTTCGTGGGTTTAAATAATAAAATTTTTTAAAAAATTAAGTAAAACATACTGTGCATGATTGTAAAAGTCAGTCGCGAGCGGTTATACGGGCAATACGAAAAATTGGCTCAAATAATGACAACCAAAAGGGATATTGCGCGAGGTTTCCTATGAGGAAATCGAGGCGTTTTTGTTTTCATAGATTTCTTGGCAAACTAATGCATTTTTATATAAACATACACTAATTTTGTTTAAAATAATTATCATATACACCAACAATCGGCACTTGTGTGAAAACACTTTGCACTCACAAACACTTTTTGTTATTAATAATATTAATATACCATATTATGGTTAATGTTGATTCTTATGTTAAAAAAAAAAAAAAAAGTATGTATGTACAGTTCATACAAGGAGCAATTAACATTGCTGTTAGCACTTACATTTGTATATGAATATGTATGTACGCACATATGCATGTATCAAGGCACATTAAACAGGTAGTATCAGTAGAGCAAAAACAACATTTGCGTGTATTTTGTTGTTGCTTCTGGTATCGAAAGTGTCAACAACTGTTCTGAATTTTTTCTTCTAAATCAAAGCGTGCCATGTGAAATAAAATATATAAAAAATAAAAAATTGAAATTGGAAAAAATAAAAATTGATGCAACTTTCTTTCCTAGTAAATTTGTTTGCTTCTCGAAGCATTGATCCATCCTTTGCAAGGCCCAGTAATCAGCGGTCGTGCTGCCGAGTTGGGCGAACGTTCCAAAAGCTGCTATTCAATCGCTTGTTTTGTATGGAAAAAGGTTTCACAAGCAAATGGATTTTAACAACTTATAATTTTCGTGAGAAAAAATTAAAAATATTTGACATTTTCGAGACCAAATAATTTGAAAATAAATCAAATCAGCTGCTCTACTGATACTACCTGTTCAATGTACCTTGGCATGTATTCATTTACGCATAAAAAACCCTGCTGCTATGTTTTTTTGTACGTACTAAGTGAGCGCAATATAAGGTTCATTCATGATTCAATAATACAAGGTTAGATAATTATTGACAGCTGCGGTTTGNAAAATGCAAGAGCGTAAGCAAAATGAGCTCACTAAAAGAGAATAACAGGAAAAAGTAAAGGAACGCAAACAACCATATTTTTAGTCCAAAGAATGGCAACAACAAAACTAACGTCAAATAAGAAAAGAAATGTATGTACAAAACACATTCACACAAATCTGACTACGTCGGACTTTTTCTGACTATTTCTGGAAGATAAGGAACGCAGCTATTAAAAGCAGCAACTCTTATCCATCTATGACATACAGTCACTCACAGAAGTATTCGTAAATTAGTTTTTTGACAATATTCAAAATGTTTTCCATCATAAATCTTTTTCTTTAATTTTCATTTAAAATATAACTCATTGTATAACAAAAACCATATAAATCATTCTTGCAAACTTTGTACAACATTCATAAAAATGAATCTAACTTAAAAAAAATTTCATCAAAATTTCAAACTTTTTATTCAGAATTTTTAGAAAAATCGGTATGCAGGTTTGTAGCCCGTTCAATTTTGGTATAATAAAAAGCAAGTTTCAAGTAGCTAAAAATTACTGCTGGTTTTTTAGATTTTTTTTTGTCGAGTGTGTTGCACATTTTCTTCCATATAAAAATAGATTTGGTTCATGCCTTATATATATATATATATATATACCGCAAAGCTCGAGAACGGCTGAACCGATTTTTTTTTTTTGAAATTTCGGACACCAGCTGTAGACGTTCAAAGGATGGTTATAGGCTAACAAAAATCTCGATACATAAAAAGGGCGTGGAACCTCCCATAAAAACCGAATTCTTCATACTCCATATCTCTGGAAATAATCATGGTAGAGCTCTGGAACTTGGTATGGAGATACATTTAGGAAATCCATCGCAAACTCTTGGAGAAGAATTGGAGCTATCGCAAAAGCCGAATTTCATACTGCATACTGTTCATGGAATTTCGTATGGAGACATATGAAATCAATCCTAAACTCATGGATAAAAATGGGCTATTTCAAAAGAGGGCGTGGCAAAGTACAAACGTACTGACTTACTTATTTTTGAATGTGTTATCTTTGTGAGTGAAATCCTAAATGGCTGAAGATATTTGTGTGTGTGTGTGTGTGTTTGAGTGGGTCTCTGGATAGTTTAGTTTCATAATTTAACCCTCCATTTGCGCAGGAGTTCTGTTATTACTAAAAATCTTTTCTATGATCCGATTTGGCGAATATTCGAAACATGTATTGGAAACGGTAAAGACAGTCCAATTGCAGAAAAGAGCTGCCAGGTGGTGCTGAGGTCGAGTTATTACCAAAAATCCACAAGTGAGAAATGGTGCCGTGAATGTCAGAGTAAATCGACCTGTTGCACCATTAAGTATATCGAACTCTCGTGTATTACCATTGGCCCAATGGATGGAAATTTATTTTTTTACTTGAATTTAATATGGAACCTGACAGAAAAAAATAATTTTTCACTTGAATTGTTTTCAAGAAACTGGCTTTTAAGGTATTTCATCTGAGTATGAAATTGCCACCATCTTTAAGTAAAGTTTCTAGGGCAGATTCACTATAGATTCAGATCATTATTGCCGCCAGGGAACGTCTTCATGTACATAACACTTTCGTTAGGTTATTTAAGGCGGCAAACGACCACCAAACCATAATCTTAGGCGATGAATGTGCCAATGGAAATCGTGAACGTGGACTGTTGGAGAAAATGTTGGACCAGTGTTTAAATTAAAAATCCAATTTTGGGCGGGACGAAGTTCCCCGGGTCTGATAGTTTTATATAAAAATACAATTTATCAGAAGGCGAATTCATATTAGGTGATAGCAGGATCCACCTTTTATGAATTCACCATGTTTTATCCTATTTGATTAAAAACTATCTGCCTTATTCTGAGTTTCGCTCGAAAAAAAATCACCCGAAAATTGTATTCCGTCCATATTAAATACATGGAAACCAAAAGTGAAAAGTGAACCGGTTTGGGGAAAATGAAACTCATGATAAGGCTGTATCTGATATTGTTTTTTTTTTCTTTAATCTACCAACTTCCACCGATTTTTTAATGTAAAATCTAAAAATATAAATTTTTCGGAGTCTGTGTACTCAACAGAGGTTCTTACGAGCGCTCGATGAGTGCGGACCAGCGTTACTGTTTTGATACAATTGTATAACTTTTGACACTTTTTTTCTAAATATTAAGATNTTCTTTAATCTACCAACTTCCACCGATTTTTGAATGTAAAATCTACCAATATAAATTTTTCGAAGTCCGTGTACTCAACAGAGGTTCTTACGAGCGCTCGATGAGTGCGGACCAGCGTTACTGTTTTGATACAATTGTATAACTTTTGACACTTTTTTTCTAAATATTAAGATTTGATGCTTTTTTGTTCACAAATGTCCCATTTTGATACTTTTTGCTGGCAGCAATGAATTTTTGAAAACTGAATAATACTAGTTTAAAGGCAAATAATTTTTTTTTTGTTATTTACAGTCTTAAAATTGTATATGTAGTTATTTATAAGTTTGATTTGGTAACTCTTATAAGGGAAATACAACCCGGAATTTCCGTACACACGCTGCTGTTATAAAGCCCCTAAACCACACAAAGACATTGCGCAATATCGGCCTTTCAATAGACTTTAGGAAAGTCTATAGTTTTAGCTTTAAGATAAAACTTGACCAAATGGCCAGAGAAAGTCAGTGGACAAGCTGTAAAGACAATCATGTTAATAATAAAGAAATTTTAAACTACCTAGCCCACAATTACTTACATATAATCATCTAATTGAATATCAGTTGGCAGATCGTTAGCGCAGTCTTTGTAGAAAACAGCATTGTGCGCTCCAGCTATAAACAGCAGAGGATGTTCCAAGGAATGTGTGGCATTAAAACAGTAGATTCCGCATTATTTCGAACACGTCCAGCGCTTATACAAAAGCTTTGCAATTGGCACTGGCCCTAGCATGCTTTCATAATAAGCGATGTTCTCTCTTTCGTTGAAGGAGATATATATGTCATGTATGTGTATGTGTTGATTTGCCTCCATTTGTGCTTCATTGATTTCACCGAACCTTTAACATACATACATATGTACATAGTTTAATAAAATTAATATAGAAAGAGCAATGTACTACCATAACTACTTACTGATGGACACTTCCATTGGTGCAACTTACATGAAAACACTGGGATGGGCTTTAGATTGCTAACCCCGGAGTTCAGCATTAAGGAAAATATGGGAGGTAGATGGGGGTCTAATAGTTCCCTGTATGAAGTTTCAAAGCGCGCAACTTTATAGTTTTTAAGTAATTTGTTATTAAAGTTTGTAATTTTCACCAACTTGTATTGGACTATTTCACAATATATAATGCACTTTCCACTAAATTTACACGTTATTTACACTCAATATATGCGCAGTTAGAGGGTGCACGTTCAAACAAATAATAAGTGCGGCCGAAGGCCGCCTACGCAGAAAGGTGTTCTATGCAAAAGGTGTTCGGCCCCTTTTCTTTGGCAACACAGAAAGGAGAATTCTACTGCCTGAGGGTTATAATATAATATAAGCCTTAAAAATGTGTTTCAGTATTTTATAGGGGAATATTACCCAATCCCCCTACTATTTATTTTTATCTGAACAAAAGAACCTTGTCGTATTTTCCTTTTAATCGTATTTTCTTTTGGTCTTGCTTTCCACTCTTGGTTTTTTAGGTATGGCAACACAGTCCTGCTGCCATTTCCACCATGATTCAATTAGGCTGAATTTCTTTATTCATTCTGAACGTTTGGAATAAACTTTTTTGTTTACTTATTCTTTAGAACGTTCCTGATGATATGTTAACGTATATTNCAGCGAATTAAGAACAAAAATTTCTTCAAATTTAAAAAGTAAAAATTTCACTACTAACAATTTAAAAATTTTCTTAAAACTTGCAAAGAAATTTGGAAAAGAAATATCACTGTTTTTGTTTTTAGGAGTAGGGTGGGAGTGTCATTGATAAAATTAGAGCGAGAGAAAGTTTTTCTTACAAAACCTTTCATTATTGAATCATGCATTTCCACATATTCTGCATGTACTCATAAAATTAAACAACAATCAATTTTTTATAAAAAAGCTGTAATATACTAAAAGTATTTATTTGTTTGAACGTGCACACTCTAGCTGCGCATATATTGAGTGTAAATAACGTGTAAATTTAGTGGAAAGTGCATTATATATTGTGAAATAGCCCCATACAAGTTGGTGAAAATCACAAACTTTAATAACAAATTACTTAAAAACTATAAGGTTGCGCGCTTTAAAACTTTACATACACCCCCTTTAGAAGCCCGTCTACCCCCCCTATTTTCCTTAGTTCCGTAATCGGGGGTTACCATTCTAAAATTTTCCCCCTTTAATAAAGACGTAATGCTGCTAAAAGCATCTAAATATTTGCACACTGAAGCTGAGGAAACTGCATTTGGCCACCAATTCATATTCCAGTAATATTGGGCCCATAGGGACTTGCGGGTACTTCTTTACCTGTATTATGGAAAGATAAGTAGTATATTTTTAACAAAATACTCACAAAATAATTTATGCAAATAATATTACCAAGGCGAATTTATAACACATACACAAAATCAGCTGATCTAGTAACACCACCTTATATAAATTCGCCTTGAATATTACCTTAAAATTTTACAAAAATTTCTACCAATTGACGCTTTGTTTCGCAGCCTACTTTAACACATATGTAGCAGGGTTGTTGCGAATATTCGCATTCGCAACCGCGGAGCTTCCGCATTAATTTTAACATTCGCATTCGCAATAATCAATGCGGATCTTTTGCGAATGCGAATATTTAAGGGACCGAAAATAACAGTTATTTTTTTACGAGTTAAATTTGTCCAAATATTTGTTGTATTCCGAAATAAACGTCCTGGCCGGATAATAAACAAACCGCTTATCCAAATTTAACAAGTTTGGTATCAAATGAAAGTGGACTTAAATAGCTTTAAAACTGATATGTCTAAACGAGAAAAGCCACCTATTGAAAAATATGTTAATTAATTACCATAGAACAAACCTTGGGTCAGGTATATAAATTTCTTTTGTGTTACATAAATTATTAAAAAAAATATAAATAGAGGTGGTCACCTTCGTTCGTTATTTCTGTTTAAAGGCTATTTCAGTCTTCTTTCATATGATACCAAATTTGTTTAATTTTGATAAGTGGTTTGTTTATTATCCGCAAGGGACTTTTATTTCGGAATAAGAAATATTTGGTCAAGTTTAACTCGTAAAAAAAATAACTGTTACTTTCGTTCCCTGGAATATTGTGCAAGTGCACTGATAAAACGTATGTATATCTGGCCAGTCACAGAAGAAAGGATTAAAAATGAATTACAAAAACTAAATCGAAAAACGCTGATGACGCTAAAGGCTCTCCAAATTCAGAAAGAACCAAAAGAATGAGAATGAAGAATTCTTTGGAAAATANGAAAATAGCGGTGTTTAAACAACGATGCTAGATTGTGAAGATGAAAGTCTGGAGGATACATCCGACATTTGCAGTCCCGATGCAATTCTCAAAAGGGAATTACCGCAATCAAAAACTTAATATAACTGAAAGTCCTCTCAACTGGTGCAGCGTCAATCGAAATGAATTTACAATTTTGTCATGCTTCAAGTTTTTCAAGTTTGTCACCTCGAGCGAGTAGTTATTTAGTGGTGCAGATTTGATTTACGACAGATTTAAGAAACAGACTGTAACCCGAAAAGCCAACAACATTACTTTTTAATAAAAAGTTTTTATTAAATGCAATGTTCCAACTTTTAAATTCAAGCACTAAAAGAAAAAAACATTATAAAAAATGTCTAACCTTTCCATTTTTTATTTGCCTAAATCACCTGATTTGGCCGAGCTTCTCCTCCAATTTGTGGCGTGCGCCTTGATGTTGTCACACAAAGAGGAGGGACCTACAGTTTTACGCCGACTCCGAACGGCGATTGAATTTTTATGAGAAGCTTTTTTCATGGCAGAAATACACTCGGAGGTTTGCCATTGCCTGCCGAGGGACGACCGCTGTTAATAAAAAACCTTTTTTCTATATTTTTTGCGATGTTGCTTTGACCAGGTGCTGTGGAGTTGAAGCGCGCACTGCTTACCACTACACCACAGCGGCCGACAGCTCGGCCAAACACTAACATATGTGTAAGCGCCAATTTATTATTATTATTATTAAATCACCTAATTTACTCACCTAAATTTTTTCTTAAAAATACTTGACATCCGCATACGCATCCGCGGATGTCTAAAATTCGACATTCGCAACATCCCTAATATGTAGAATGTACATATTTCTGCTGTGTGCTCTTTTTGTTTTGACATTTCAGCAATGAGGATTGCAAGTTTGTGGGCAAGGCGAATTTATACAAGGTGGTGTTACTGGCAAATTTAGATTTTCGCCGCGGTACTTCCTAATGTCAAGGTGGTGTGTTTGTTGTAAACAAGGCGAATTTATACAAGGTGGTGTTACTGGCAAATTTAGATTTTCGCCGCGGTACTTCCTAATGTCAAGGTGGTGTGTTTGTTGTAAACAAGGCGAATTTATATTACAACAAACACATCGTTTTGACATTAAGAAGTACCGCGGCGAAAATCTAAATTCGCCATCAACACCACTTTGTATAAATTCGCCTTATTTGTGGGTGAGAGATCTGAAAACTTGCAATTTTGTGTGTCAATAAGGTAAACACCGTCTTAAAGGGAAGTAGCATCAAAATTTCAAACTTTTTAATCAGATTTTTTTTGTCGAGGCTGTAGCGCCATGGATAACTAGATATGAAACTCTCTCATTTTTTCTGAGAGCGCGCCCAGGAACTCGTTTTCGTACTTGGCAGCACTGCCAATCCCTGGGCAGATAAACAGCTGACACGCGAAGTGGAGAGCTACCACTAGAAGTGTGGAAAATGCATCACATTGAATTCAGTGGATTTCTTCTTCCCGCATTTTTTAATATTACTATAAAACAGTATTTGTAACTAAACGCCATTTGCCTGGCAATATAAACAGTGAAATATAAAATAGATATGAAGAATATTGCAACTTTTGTTCGTTGTGTTTAATCAAAAGTTTCTCCATAAATTTCTCTATAAATGCCCATACATGTTTTCGTTACAGTGGCTCTACTGGAGAATGTTATAAAAAATACACACTTTGACAGCGCTCTCACGAGAAAAAGAGTTTCATATCAAGTTATCCAAGGTAGCGCATTTTCATCCATATAAAAATGGATTTGTTCAATGCGAATTTATATAAGGTGGTGTTGTTTAATCAGCTGTGAGTAGCGTTTG